GAGGCCAACGCGTGGATTACGGAGATCAGAGGATCGACGCGTACCGCATGCCGTAACACAAACGCGCGTTGCTACTAGAGAGAAGGAGCGAAAAAAAAAAAAGAAAAGAAAAGAAAAAAGTCTACTATAATGGTTAATTTTATATGTCAACTTGATGAGGTCATAGGGTGCCCTGATATTTGGTCAAACATTTTTCTGGGTGTTACTAATGAGATATTTGGTTAAACATCATTCTGGGTGATTTTGGATGTGATTAACATTGTAATCAGTAGACTGGGTAAAGCAGATTTGCCCTCCCTGATGTAGGCTAGCCTCATTCAACTGGCTAAATACTTAAAAGAAAACAAAGACTGACCCTTCACAAGTAAGAGAGAATTCTTCCTGCTTGACTGCCTTGTAACTGGGACATTGGCTTTTTTTCCTGCCTAGGGGCTCTTAAATGAAACACTGGCTCTTCCTGGTGTCAAGCCTACCAGCCTTCAGATGGGAACTACACCCACTGGCATTCCTGGTTCTCAGGCTTTCAGATGCAGACTGGAACTCAACCACTGGCTCTCTTGGGTCTCCAGTTGCCCACCTCCATAATCATATAAGTCAATTTCTTATAATAAATCTTCTATATTTTTTGCTTATTTATTTATATGTGATAATATAGATATAGATATACATATTGTATCCTATTGGCTGTGTTTCTCTGGAGAACCCTGAGTAACACATTTGCCCTTATCACTTCTATTTAAAATTGTACTGGGAGTCTTAGCCAGTGCATAAAGGAAAGAAAAAAGTTTGGAAAGAAAGATGTAAAGCTGCCACTTTTTTTCAGATTTTGCTTTAACATTCTACTGGAGCTCCTAACCTGTGTAGCAAGATATATCTAAAGGAAAATCATGTCATAATTACATTTAATGTACTCAAATTGAACTATATAATCCTGCTGGGGAGAAGAAAGAAAAAGAGAACGACAGTGCTAGGTACGGTGGGATGAGGTACATACATTAAATACTACCTGTCATTAAGCCCATTAATCCTCTCCATGAACACAATAACTGCAAACAATAGAATCAATCAAGCTTGATACCTGATAGAAGTGGCAAAACACATGGACATAAAATGTCAATGACTTTATTAGGTTTCTGACCACTGACAAAGGAGCAACGCATAATGCTTGAGAAAAAATAAAGCATGAAGATATTTATCTTGGATATTTTTTAGGAAGAAATTAAATAAAGGGCTACAGAGAAATACCAACCATAAAAAAATTAAAGAACTGATAAATTATCTACGGAAGACAAATACGATAACCTGCAAATTGGAAGAACAAGTAGAAATTCCCATTTGTTATTATGTAGATTCTATACATATAAATTACTAAAAAAACCATATATATATAATATTCCATATGTCTAGTGGGTAGATTTGACTCCGTGTGATTTTTGCCTTTAAAAATTAAATCCTTGTCTGGCATGGTGGCTTGTGCCTGTAATTCCAGTGCTTTGAGAGACCAAAGCAGGAGGATTGCTTGAGGCCAGGAGTTGAAGACCAGCATTGGCAACATAGCAAGACCCTATCTCTATAAAAGTAGAAATAAAAATAAAAATTAGCTGGAAGTGACGGCGTATACCTGTAGTCCTAGCTACTTGGGAAGCTGAGGTAGGAGGATCGCTTGAGCCCAGGAGTTGAAGGTTACAGTGAGCTATGATCATGCCACTGCACTAGTGAGGGTGACAAAGTAATACCCTGTCTCTAAATAAATAATTTCTTTTTTTAAAAAAAGAATAAAATGCTGGGCGCGGTGGCTCACGCCTGTAATCCCAGCACTTTGGGAGGCCGAAGTGGGTGGATCACGAGGTCAGGAGATGGAGACCACGGTGAAACCCCATCTCTACTAAAAATACAAAAAATTAGCCAGGCATGGCGGCGGCCGCCTGCAGTCCCAGCTACTCGGGAGGCTGAGGCAGGAGAATGGCATGAACCTGGGAGGCGGAGCTTGCAGTGAGCTGAGATCGGGCCACTGCACTCCAGCCTGGGCGACAGAGCGAGACTCCATCTCAGGAAAAAAAACAAAAAGAATAAAATCCTCAAGGAAGTCTACTATTTACTAATCCAGAGGACTGTCCAACATGTATTATAAAGTGAATAAATCAAGTTATACAACAATATATATAGTGTCATCCCTTTGTTAACAAACAAATCATTTGACAAATAACAGAAATAAACACAACCAAAACCCCTTTAATTCCCATATCATATGTTTATATATATTTTTATAAACCTGGAGGACATTCAAAAAGCTTGTTAACTTTGAATCCCTTATGATGGTAAGGAGAGACCAGCACCTTTCTTCTTAATCATGTTTGCACTTTTTCTTTTCCTTTCTTTTTTTGGGGGGAGATTGGGTCTCACTCTGTCACCGTGGTAGAATGCAGTTGCACAATCTCAGCTCAGGGCAGCCTCGACCTCCCAGGCTCCAGCGATCCTCCCACCTCAGCCTTCCTCATAGCTGGGACTACAGACATGTGCTACCACACGCAGCTAAGTTTCGTATTTTTTGTAGAGATGGGGTTTCGCCATGTTGCCCAGGCTGGTCTCGAACTCCTGGACTCAAGTGATCTGCCTGCCTAGGCCTCCCAAAGTGCTAGGGTTACAGGTGTGAGCTACCATGCCTAGCCTATTTGCACTTTTTCATTTACTGCAACAATTATTCGTGTTATACTTTTGCAATTGAAAAATTTAAATTAAAAGACAAAAACAGGATTACCACTAAAATAGAAAACAGAGGTTAATTGGTCATAAACACACTCATTAAAAAGAAAAATCTAGGCCGGGCACAGTGGCTCACACTTGCAATCCCAGCACTTTGGGAGGCCATGGCAGGCAGATCACGAGGTCAGGGGTTCGAGACCAGCCTGGCCAATATGGTGAAACCCTGTCCTTACTAAAAATACAAAAATTAGCCAGGTGTGGTGGCGTGCACCTGTAGTCCCAGCTACTAGGGAGGCTAAGGCAGAAGAATCGCTTGAACCCAGGAGGCAGAAGTTGCAGTGAGCTGAGATCGTGCCACATGTAACCTAGCCTGGGCGACAGAGTGAGAGTCCATCTCAAAAAGAAAAATCTAGCAGAGGATATAAAAGCAAAGCCTTTATTTTAATGATAACTACTCAAAGAATCTTCTTCTAAGATTGCAAATATTTAAGGTGTACACATGATGGTTTAATATAGATAAAGTGCTTGCCACACGGTCAAGTAAATTAACATATCCATTATCACACACAGTTAACTTTCTTTTTTGAGGAGTGGTAAGAGTGCCTAAAATCTACTTTCCTAGCAAATTTCCTGTATACAACATTATTAACTATAGTCTTCATGTTGTATATTAGATCTCCAGAATTATTCAACCAAGGTAACTCTTTGTACCTTTGAATTATTTCTCTCAACTTTTTTCACAGCCTCACTCACTTGTCTAACACCAAAGGTGGTAACCAACCTTTTACTCTCCCCCAAAATCTTTAATGCCCATGCACAAAAGCAAGACATTGATAATTTTTGGCAAAAGGCTCCTGAATATATCTTCACAGCAACAAACATTTCAAACAAACCAAATCTTTTCTTGGATCACAAAAATTATTCACTTAATTTCCAACCCAGCAAATTAGGGAAAATAAATGCTTTATACTCTGAGACAAAATGCTTTGTTAAGTCTTTATTTAAATGTATGGGATTGAGCAATAAGCCCCCATGTGTTAACAACTTGTGGTCCATAACGTAGTAATCTACTTTCTTCCAGGAAATGGCATTACATGTTCTCTGTGCTCAGCAAGTTTAAAAGGAAAGAAAAAAAAAAAAAAAGACTGAAAGAGGTTTCAGTGCAGCTCTAGGCAAGGCTGAGAGAGGAGAGTAAGCTTGCATAAAAACATAAGATCTATAGTTTGGGCTTAAATTTCACTTGCTGAAATTTAACATATCCATCATCACACACAGTTACCTTTGTTTTTTTGAGTGAGGAGTGGTAAGAGTACCTAAAATCTACTCTCCTAGGAAATTTCCTGTATAAAATATTATTAACTATAATCTTCAGGTTGTACATTAGATCTCTAGAATCATTCAACCAAGATAACTCTATCTTTGTACCTTTGAATTATTTCTCTTGACTTTCTTCACCGTCTTACCCATCTATATTATATATTTCTTCTGTATAATACACAGAAGAAATTATAGATGTATAATACACAGAAGAAATATGTAATATATACTGGAAAAATAATGTCAATCTTTCCAGTAGATCTCTAATGATTCAAAAGTCTTTGAATTTTAAAAGGAAATTTTCAAATTTTAAAACAAAAATTCTCAATAGTCTTATAATAAATTACCATACCCTATATCATGTAATTGACCAATATGGGTAAAATTCAATCTTCAATGTGACATTACTGAGCATATCAGTGAGTTATTCAAAGACTGGAGCAGATGGCAAATTCAAATCTTAGCGGGTACTCACTTTTACAGTTTCCTCTGTGTTAAGTTTATTTCCCTTAACCAAGACAATTTGGAAAGGGTTGTTATTTTCCCAAACATGCTGTAAAAGAATAAAACAAATACAAATTATTTTAATGAAAGAAATGAATATTCTATGCCAGCAATGCAATTGTCATCAGCTCTAATGTCTATTGGCAAAACTATGAAAATAGAGCTCTAAACTAACAACTGAAAGTCACACACACTAAATTAAGCATTATAACCCCTAGCACTTGGCTTTCACGGCAAAACATAGGCAGCGTTCCACTAATACTAACAGATATCACTAAATTAAAAAGCATTAACAAATAATAATAAAAGCTTTTTATAAATTGAGTTGATCATTTATATTAATATAGAAATAACATCATCAAGGAGCAGTTCATTATACAATTTGTGATGACTGAGTAACTAAGTGTTAACTGTTGAAATAAAGACAAACTTAACATTTGCTTTATACAAATATATTACATTCTGAAAAACAATAGTGCCCTTCATAAATGTTTAGTACTAAAAGAATTCGGTATTAAGAAGACAGACAAATTATACCAAAAACACTACCATAGTTAAGCTGATAGAAATGAAATATACTAGTTAATTCAATTATGTCTGCACATCTAACTTTTCTACTAGAATGTCTCCAATTACTCATTGAAGTCCTATATTTAAATCAAAACCTCTAATTTGATGACATTTTTCTTCAGCAGAAAGAAACACCAAAAATATAAATGGCATATTTATATTTAATTGTAGCTTGAGTAAAAATAATAATATCTAGAAAGATAATTTTTAAATAAATGGTGATCAATGGCAAATAAGCATTGGTTTTCACAGAAGGAGAAGTGAGCAAAGGAAATGTGTGTGAAACTTATGTAAACTAACACAATCACATGCCTTGTGGGGTCACTAAAGGTTCAGAAATAAAAACTTACAGAAATAATTCGCGTTTTCTTTGGTGGTAATGGAAGAGGAAGGTTAGATGAATTCCGATTTATGGCAGCCTCTATGGCAATCATTTCCTGTTCATACATTTTCTTGATCTTGCAGCATTCCACAAGTATAAAATGGGGCAGGGTCCTGTTCATTACACAGTTCCGGATATACTATAGGGGCAAGAAAGAGGAAGGTATTGATTTTCAAGCTGACACCTAAATCAATAGAATAAAATGAAGCTGAACAACACTATATCAAATGCACTGTGAAAGTATGTCTTAAACCACAGCTGAATATCAAGAATATAAAAATAATTTTTTTTTTGAGACAGGGTCTATGTTGCCCAGGCTGGAGTGCTGTGACAAGATCACAGCTCACTGCAGCCTCGACTTCCTGGGCTAAAGTGATCCTCCTACCGCAGCCTCCGGAGTACCTGGGACTACAGGCATGCACCACCATGCCCAGCTAATTTTTATATTTTTTGTAGAGATAGGGTTTTGCCATGTTACCCAGGCTGGTCTTGAACTCCTGAGCTGAAGTGATCTGCCTACCTTGGCCTCCCAAAGTGCTGGGATTACAGGTGTGAGCCACCAAGCCCAGCCTAAGAATATGAGAATTTAAAATCACCATACAAAAAAATAGTTAGCATTAACTGAACACCTAAGTACCTAAAGAACTGAGTTAGATAATTATTGTATGTTACAGCTAATCTCATTACACTCATTTAACATATTAAAGAAATGAAACTCAGAAGGGTTAAGTTACACACCTAGTATCTGTAAAACCTAGATTTAAACCCACTTGTCTAACACTAAAGTCATACTTCAGCCATACTTTCAGCTTCACTAGAAAAGCTGAATATGTGGTTCGCATGTGGCAGACTCACACTTTCTATGGATCCCTGAGACGGCCCCTTTCCATCACAGAGTTCTAGGCAAGTATTACCAGCTATCTGGCCAGCAAAAACCTACCAATCATCCCAGTTTGATGTTCTGTTTTATTTCCACAAAACCAGAATGACTCTCCAGAAGCATATAAGAAAAGGGGTGATTATTCATATTACCAAAGATTCCTAACAAAGTGAATAGGAATCCAGTGTATTCCTCAGAAGAATGAATGTCCTATACAGATCTAGAGTGTGATTCAATGTATTGTAATTCAATTTAGAACCATTAAAAATACATTTTTGTCAAAGAAAAAACCTTCCAGAATGTCTCTCAGAAGTGATATTATGATAAATATATTCATCCAAAAACTTTTCACTATGAAAGATCCTTTTCAGCCAGGTGCGGTGGCTCACGCCTATAATCCCAGCACTTCGGGAGGCCGAGGCAGGCGGATCACGTGGTCAGGAGATGAGGACTATCCTGGCTAACACAGTGAAACCCCGTCTCTACTAAAAGATACAAAAAAATTAGCCGGGCGTGGTGGCGGCCGCCACCTGTAATCCCAGCTACTCCGGAGGCTGAGGCAGGAGAATGGCGTGAACCCAGGAGGCGGAGCTTGCAGTGAGCCAAGATCGCGCCACCGCGCTCCAGCCTGGGCGACAGAGCAAGATTCCATCTCAAAAAAAAAAAAAAGAAAAGAAAAGAAATATCCATTTCTCTCACATTCCTTTGCCTACACTGTATATTCTTTCTGTCTCTCTTTTGTACAGGGTATCTCCTGTCTAACCCTGCACAAAAACACATACATGTTTCTGTTTTTCTTTATAATAATAAAGGATAATGCTGGTAAAATATACATTCTCCTTTACATCTCTTAAGGTAAAAAGAAACGTTAAATTAAAGAAGCGGGAATCTACTTGAATGATGGCAGAACACGAAGAAAAGTCAGTACTTCTAGGTTGCCCACCAAGCACTTTTCATCTTGTTTCCTCTTATGGACTAGAGATCAATAGCTTACTATCGGAATACCACAACTCCCAGAGCTGTGCACTAAGTTATAACTGCTCCTAGACCTTATATGTACTAAATCACAAAAATTAAGGGCCACACCAGAAACCTAAGAAGAGGTGTAACATCATGTTACCTGCTAATAAACTGCAGCTCCAGATTCTCAAACACACATCACTTTATAATTGGCATGCCTATATCCCTCTTGTTTAAACAATGACAACAATAATATCACAAAATAACAAGATTTTCCTAAAATTCTTAACTACTAACCTCTAACTGGGCACTTATAATAATATTCTTTACATGATGACTATTTTTTAGTCTCCAAGGTATTTCAACAAAAACATCTTCAAGTTACTTGAAGGCAAAGCCAAGGACCTAGTCGTTAAACAGTAGACCTTATAGGGGGAGGGGTGCTACACCGCACATAGCATATTTAAACTCAACTTTACTCCAAAAATAATCTGGGGCAATTCAGTGCTGTACAGAAGCATATTCTCAAAGAATTCTTAATTAAATGAAAATAAACAAATATATGAATGATTAAGAAAGGCTTTTGAGAATGGTCAAACCTAATGCTTGCAAAATTCTTGCCATACATGGAAGTAACAAAAAAGGGGCAAGGGAAATTCCACGCATAAATATTTCAGACTGGAATTGAAAAGTTTTCCTTCACTTAGCTAATGGATAATCACAAATAAGTTTTTATACAATTCAATGGATGACCATTTAATCAATTTTTAAATACTTTACCTCCTCCAGAATATTTCATATTTATACCATATGATGAAATAGAAAGCAACTATAACAGTGTTAAAAATTCATAATGATGTAAGACAATAATTATAAGACAAATTGAAACAATCAAAACAGCTGAATGAGCCGGGCACGGTGGCTCATGCCTGTAATCTCAGCACTTGGAAAGGCCAAGTAAGGTGGGCGGATCACCTGAGGCCAGGAATTTGAGACTAGCTTGGCCAAGATGGTGAAACCCCATCTCTACTAAAAATACAAAAAGAAGCTGGGCATGGTGGCGCACACCTGTAATCCCAGCTACTCGGGTGGCTGAGGCACGAGGATTGCTTGAATCTGGGAGATGGAGGTTGCACTGAGCCAAGACTGCATGCTGCTGCACTCCAGCCTAGGCGACAGAGCAACACTCTGTCTCAAAAAAACAACCAAAAAAAAAGCCAAGCAGAATACAAACACATACATACACATATTCGTGTGTACAATCATTATGCTAAAATATATACATAACTGCCAAAAAAAGAGACAAAAACATGCCAAAATGGTAACAATGATTATTTCAGAGGTAAGTACTATTATAAATATATACTATTTAATACTATATAATTTTCTGTATATTCCAAACGTTCCACTATGGGAACACATTTTTAAAATCAGAAATAAAAAAATATATATATACACTCATAGACTTTTCTGGTAAATATAATTAATATAGTTAATATACATACCTGGAACTGAATTAGTGGATGATCACCAAAAACATATTCTACTCTCCCACTGACTTGCAACACATAATCATAGGGGCTAACTTCATCTTCCTTCCCATGAATAGTCAAACGTTTTTGGATTGCCAATTCATTTACTTTGATAGGATTCATATTAGGAGATACTTGAAAGCTAAACACATCCTAAAGGGGAAGAGAGATGGAAAAAAAAGTAGTAAATGTTATATTTATGCTGAAAAATCACTATTACAGTCATTATGTAATAATATGTACAAATGTACATAATATTTATATAGGTACATCCTTAACAAATTTTACATGGATGCATATTTAGAACGTAGACAAGTTTACTGAAAGATAAAGATTTCGAATAATCTGAAAGTCATCTTACTGCATTCATAGTGCACAGCTTCCACAGGTAAGATTAATATTTAACTAACAGTTACCATTAGGCATTTTCCAATGAACATCTTAGCTTCCTTTTTTTTTTTTTTTTTTGAGATGGAGTCTCACACTGTCCCCTAGGCTGGAGTGGAATGGCGTGATCTTGGCTCACTGCAACCTCTGTTTTCCGGGTTCAAGCAATTCTCCTGTCTCAGCCTCCCGAGGAGCTGGGATTACAGGCGTGTGCCACCACACCCGGCTAATTTTTTGTATCTGTAGTAGAGACAGGGTTTCACCATGTTGGCAAGGCTGGTCTCAAACTCCTGACCTCGTGATCCGCCGCCTCAGCCTCCCAAAGTGCTGGGATTACAGGCATGATCCACCGCCCCCGGCCACATACTTTCTTTAAAAAGTCACATAACCTGTAGCTATATTTTGTATATATATATTTTAAAACTTACACATTTCTCACTGGTAAGAGGAGAGCCATACTTTATACTAATTAAACCATAAATTAGCAATTGTGTCCAATTTTAGAAACATGTAAATAGAAACATACAGAAATTCTAATCAATGAAAAATGAAGATATAGCTTGGAATCGATATAGCATTACCAGATCTGCTCATCATAAGACTGAGTGGTACAGACAACACCTGAATCCTCTCATAATCTATCAAGGTAATTTTCCATTATATGATCATATACTAACAATATAAGAAGCTATCTCCCAAAGCAACCAACTGCTACTCTGAACAACTAACTCACTGCTACTCCCTATACTGACCTGACATCAATTCCATAATATTTTCCACTAATTTATTTAAATAAATCACCCCCCTGAATTTAAGATGTCTTAGATTCAAACTTTTAAAACCTAAACTTACTAAGTATTTCACATCTATTTTTCCCAGTATTTTACTTATTATTCTGTGTTTTCTATGAGTTGGTGCCTGCCATAGACTGAATGTTTGTGTCTCCCCTGCTGGATTCATATGTAGAAACCTAATCTCTAATGTGATGATATTTGGAAGTAAAAACTTTGGGATGTGATTAGGTCATGAGGGCAGAGTCCTCATGAATGAGATTAGTACCCTTATAAAAGAGACCCCAGAGGCCATGTACGGTGGCTCACACCTGTAATCCCAGCACTTTGGGAGGCCATGGTGGGCGGATCACGAGGTCAGGAGATCATGACCAGCCTGGCCAACATGGTAAAATCCCGTTTCTACTGAAAGTACAAAAATTAGCTGGGCATGGTGGTTCACGCCTGTAGTCCCAGCTACTTGAGAGGCTGAGGCAGGAGAATCGCCTGAACCAGGGAGTCAGAGGTTGCAGTGAGCTGAGATTGTGTCACTGCACTCCAGCCTGTCAGAGTGAGACTCCAACTCAAAAAAAAAAAAAATAAAATAAAATAAAATAAAATAAATAAAAAAAGAACTTAGAGAGCTTCGTCTCCTTTTCTGCCATGTAAGGACATAGCAAGAAGACAGTTATGTATGGACCAGGAAGCAATCCCTCATAATGAACTAGTGCCTTGATCTTGGACTTCCCAGATTTCAGAATTTTGAGAAACAGGCCAGGTGCAGTGGCTCACACCTGTAATCCTAGCACCTTGGGAGGCCGAGGCGGGCGGATCACTTAAGCTCAGGAGCTCAAGACCAGCCTGGCAAACACGGTGAAACCCTGCCTTTACTAAAAATACAAAAAATTACTAAAAATACAAAAAAACAGGCACGGTGGCCACTGCCTGTAGTGCCAGCTACTCGGGAGGCTGAGGCAGGAGAATTGCTTGAACCAGGGAGTTGGAGGTTGCAGTGAGCCAAGATCGTGTCACTGTACTCCAGCCTGGTGACAAAGTGAGACTCCATCTCAAAAAATAAAAATAAAAATAAAACAAAAATAAAAATAAAAATAAAATAAAATAAATAAAATAAAATAAACCTCAGAGAGCTTCCTCTCCTCTTCTGCTATATAAGGACATAGCAAGAATATAGTTATATATGCACCAGGAAGCCATCCTCGTAAGACACAGAATGAACTGGTGCCTTGATCTTGGACTTCCCAGCTTCCAGAATTGTGAGAAACAGGCCAGGTGCAGTGGCTCACACCTGTAATCCCAGCACCTTGGGAGGCCAAGATGGATGGATCACTTGAGCTCAGGAGTTCAAGACCAACCTGGCGAACACAGTGAAACCCCGCATCTACTAAAAATACAAAAAATTAGCAGGGCGCGGTGGCGCCTGTCTATAGTCCCAGTTACTCAGGAAGCTGAATCAGGGGAATCCCTTGAACCTGAAAAGAGGCAGTTGCAGTGAGCCTAGATCACGCTACTGCAATGCAGCCTGGACCACAAAGCGAGACTCTGTCTCAAAACAAAACAGAACAAAACAAACAAACAAAAAACCCTAGAATTGTGAGAAATAAATTTCTGTTGTTTATAAGCCACCCAGTCTATGGTATTCTGTTACAGCAGCCCAAACGGACTAAGACAGTGCCACATACATCAAAGAATACAGGCTAGGATGCTAGGAATCATTTTGAGAGGTCTCATGCCTCCTCTTTCCTCCTCAACCTCACCTCCCAATAAGACACCAATGACCTTATATCTTAATGGTTTTCCCATATTTCAAGCAGTTGTTCAATATCACTTTCCATGACTTCATGAAATATTGTACCTTTTTTTTTTGAGACAGGGTATCACTCTGTCGCCCAAGGTAGAGTACAGTGGCGCAATCTGGGCTCGCTGCAAGCTCCGCCTTCTGGGATCAAGCAATCCTCTCACCTCATCCTCCTGGGTAGCTGGGACTACAGATGTGCACCACCATGCCCAGGTAATTTCTGTACAGATGGGGTTTCACCACATTGCCCAACCTGGCAACTCCTGGGTTCAAGAGATCCTCCCTGTTCAGCCTCCCAAAGTGGTTGTGCACCATCTCACCTGGCCAAGCCAGTGTTCTCAAGTTGAATTCTCATCACCTTTCATCAATAAATTCCCCTATTCTACCTCTCTTGACCACGCAGAATTCCTTAAACAGTATTGTAAATTTGACCTTGACATTTTAATGATACTCAAATCTTGACTTAAATTGAACTTCAGACTCAACGTATCTCAGGATTGAATGATGAATGGCATTTTTCCCTAGATAAACTTACTTGTTTAGAGAAAATGCCTGAAGGTAGAATCTTTTTTTCACATCTGTCCTAACAAATACTTATTAATATGTTGGCTAAAAGGCGGCAAAACTAGGTAAAACCAGAGAGAGACACCTGGATGAAATCCTGGTTCTACCACTGACTAGCTATGAGGACTGGCACAAAACACTAAACTTCTCTTCCTTTCAGTCTCTTCACTGTAAATGGGGGAAAGACAACAACATTTTGTAAGGTTGGTGTGGGAACTGGAGAATATATGAAAAATATACCATACGAGGAATTATGCAGGATAAGTGCTCAACACAGAATAAAAACTTACCCTGCATAATTGGTTGTTGTCATTGCTATGGTTATCACAGTAATTCAAGAACAAAACAAAACATCCGGCTGGGCGTAGTGGCTCATGCTTGTAATCCCAGCATTTTGGGAGGCCAAGGCGGGTGGATCATCTGAGGTCAGAAGTTCGAGACCAGTCTGGCCAACATGGTGAAACCCCATCTCTACTAAAAATACAAAAATTAGCCAGGTGTGGTGGCAGGAGCCTATAATCCCAGCTACTCAGGAGGCTGCAGCAAGAGAATCGCTTGGACCTGGAGGGTGGAGGTTGCAGGGAGCCAAGATCATACCACTGCACTCCAGCCTGGGCAATAGAGTGAGACTCCATAAAAAAAAAAAGAAAAAAAAAAAAAAAAACCTTGCGTTTCTACCTTACTCTAATGCCAGACCCTAGATGCTAGAATGACTATACTTGATACAATAGTAGTAGCATCATCTAGTTTGTATAATTGCTCTGAATATTCAGAAATGGATGGGCTGTATATGAACTCTATTATAATGCCTACTTCCATATCATTAATTAATTCACATAGTCACAGAATGCAAATTTAAGAATATGGAAACAAAGAGACCATTTTGATTAGGGCTTTCATTCTACAGACGGGGGGAAAAAATCACATGAAAAAAATATATTTCCAATAAGGAACACTATTTAGACCAGCAGTTGGCAAACTTTTTCTGTAAAGGACCAGGTTTGGCAAACAACATACAACACAGTGGTCTCTGTTGCATATTCTTTTTTTTCCTTCTTCTTCTTTTAAACATCCCTTTACAAATCTTTGAGGATTTTTTTCTTTTTTTAACATCCCTTTAAAACTGTAAAAACCAATTAAACAGTCCAGTTTGCCAATCCCATTCTAAATCACCATTCCACTGCATCAAAAAAGATACATGCAAAGAATATCACTTTAGACTATTATACATAATACTAAATACATTTCCATCTGAAATCTAAAATTGTTCTTTCTAATAGTGTTTGCTAGGTGAGAGACACTTCTAAAAATGGAGCTGTATTCAGGTAAAAATGAGAAATGTATTACAAAATATTTCTTAAAAAAACATAATCCTACCTGGCAGTTTTCAAAATGAATAGCTACAATGAGCTTTCCCCCATAAAGTTTATCTTCTAAGTTTTCAGGGATGGATGGTTCATGCTCTGGTGGATATGTTTGTTTTAGCCAGTCCATCCAAGACAATCCCACAAGTGACAGGATCTTTTCCTCGCTGAATTTGCGCATTTTTCTTCGAAATTCATTTACTTCAGGATCCTTCAAGGAATCAAATTCATGCAGACCTAAACACATTTTTTAAAGGTGTCATTTTCAGTAGCTAACAATAACAAAAAAGAATATAGAAAGAATACAAAGTATATTCAACACAAACTAACTTGGATCTTGGATGCTTGGCTTTTATCAAGCAGATGAAACTACGGAGGAAAATACCATGAAAGATCAAAAAACCCAGATAAAACAATAAATCTCATGTACAGAAGACAAACATACAATTATATTTTTAAAAAAATACAACTCAGAACCTCATAAAGAAATGTAGTTTGCTTACCAGTTTTACAAAGTAATTCACAATACATATTTTAAAGCCACACATAAAAGATTCATTGTTTTTATTTACAAACCAAGTATTAATAAATCACATTTAAAATAGCTGAGAAAGACTAAGAATCTGAAAAACAGCTTCAATACTGTAATAGAAGAAAACTAAGAATCAAGTTATTATCTCACCTAAAACTTGATATACTATGGGAATGGCTATGATACACAGGGGCAGAGGGAATGTGGAAAATCTCCATATCTTCCTCTGAATTTTGCTGTGAACCTAAAACTGTTCATAGTCTTTAAAAAACCAAAACCAAAGAAAACCTAGTATACTTAAAAATTTTATAGATTGAATTTTCACTTCATTTTGACTTTTAAATGGTTATCATATATTGTATTAATCAGTCAAAAATCCCATAAACGTAAAATTGTTCTTTACTGTTTGGTTGACTCTCAAACAACATGGTGGTTGCGGCACCAACCCACCACAGAGGAGAAAATTCACATATAATATTCATTCATTCATTCACTGAGACAGAATCTTGCTTTGTTACCCAGGCTGGAGAGCAGTGGTGTGATCACTGCTCACTGTACCCTTCATCTCCTAGGCTCAAGTGATCCTCCCACCTCAGCCTCCCAAGTAGCTGAAATTACAGTCACAAGCACATACCACTATGTCTGGATAAATTTTTAGTAGACATGAGGTCTTGCCATATTGTCCAAATTGTCTTGAACTCCTGGGCTCAAGCAATCCTCCCACCTCAGTCTCCCAAAGTGCTGGGATTACAAGTGTGAGTCACCATGCCTGGCCCACATGTCACTTTTGACTCCTGAACAACTTAACTACTAATAGCCTACTTATGAGCAGAAGCCTTACCAACAACATAAAGTCAGTCAACACTTATTTTGTATGTTATATATGTTATATACTGTATTCCTAAAGCTAAAGAAAATGTTAATTACTCCAGCTCTCTTCTGATTACAAAAAAAGAAAATGTTATTAAATAAATCACAAAGAAGAGAAAATATATTTACTATTTATTAAGAGGAAGTGGATCATCATAAATGTCTTCCTAACTCATCATCTTCACATTGAGTAGGCTGAGGAGGAGGAGGAGAGGTTGGTCTTGCTGTCTCAGGGGTGACAGACGCAGAAGAGTGAAGGAGGTAGAAGGTGAGGCAGGAGATGCAAGCATACTGTATGTAACTTTACAGATATACGTCATAATTTCTGACTTCTTTGCTTTTTCATTTCTGTAAAAAATGTTTATCTGTATAGTATCAATCCTACCATTGCTTTAGTTTCAGTGCTGGTATCATAGAAGGGGCCATATTATAAAAGAAGTCAAAAGCAATCTTGAATAATCGGAAGCCTTCCGTCAGACTGCTGCATGTGAATTTGTTTTCGGGCACTGTTTAATTCTGTATCATCTTCCTCATCATCTGGCACTGGTTCAGAATCACTCATCTCCGTGAAGTTGTTTTCTGTTAATCCCTCTCGTGTGGTGTTTATTAGCTCTTGGATTTCACCATGATCTGTATTTTGAAACCCTTCACCACCACTGCTGCCTTTTATGCCATATCCAAAATCTATTTCATAATTTCCTTGATTGGTTCTGTTGTAAATCCTGTGAACTCATGTACAATATCGGGACAGAGTTTTCTCCAACAGGAATTTACTGTTTGGGGTTTGATAGCTTTCACAACTTTTTCTACATCAACGATGGCATCTTCAATGATGTAATATTCCCAGTCTTTCATGATGTTTAACCAGGTTCTCTTCCATAGAGTACCATGAGTAACGAGCCTTAAAGGTCCTTATGACCTCCTGATAGGCTAAATTAGAGATGTAGAGTTTGGGGGTAAGTAGACCACTTTGATGCTTTCAGTGTTGAACTCAGGGGGTTCTGGGTGGCCACGGGCATCATCCAATATCAAAAGAACCTTAAAGGCAGTCCTGGCCGGGTGCAGTGGCTCATTCCTGTAATCCCAGCACTCTGGGAGGCTGAGGTGGGCGGATCACGAGATCAGGAGATCGAGACCATCCTGGCTAACACAGTGAAACTCCGTCTCTACTAAAAATACAAAAAGTTAGCCGGGCGTGGTGGTAGGCGCCTGTAGTCCCAGCTACTTGGGAGGCTGAGGCAGGAGAAGGGTGTGAACCCGGGAGGCGGAGCTTGCAGTGAGCTGAGATCTCTCCACTGCACTCCAGCCTGGGTGACAGAGTAAGACTCCATTTCAAAAAAAAAAAAAAAAAGCAGTCCCTAGGCTGGGCGCAGTGGCTCACGCCTGTAATCCTCCTGTTATCCCAGCACTTTGGGAGGCCAAGGTGGGGGGATCACTTGAAGTGAGGGGTTCGAGACCAGCCTGGCCAACATGGGGAAACACCGTCTCTATTAAAAACACAAAAATTAGCCAGACACGGTGGTGTGTGCGTGTAATCCCAGCTACTTGGGAGGCGGAGGCAGGAGAATCCCTTGAACCCCGGAGACAGAGGAGCCAAGATCACACCACTGCACTGCAGCCTGGGCGATATAGTGAGACTCCATCTCAAAAAGAGGCAGCCCCCTTACTGGCAAAATACTTCCTGACTTCAGAACAAAGCACTGATGGAACCAGTCCAGAAAAAGCGTTCTCATTATCCAGGTCTTCTTGTTGTACAACCGAAAGACTAGCAGCTGGTGTTTCTTTTTCCCTTTGAGGTTTGGGGGTTAGCAGCTTTATAAATAAGGTGTATCACAAACCAGTCTGCATTTGCACAAAACAGTAGTTAGTCTTCCTGTCTTAAATCCTGGTGCTAACTTCTCTTCCTTACTAATAACTGACCTTTGTGGCATTTTTTTTTTCTCCAGAACTAGGCACTTTGATCTACATTAAAAACTTGTTCAGGGCCAGACAAGGCAGCTCACACCTATAATCCCAACATTTTGGGAGGCCGAGGTAGGAGGATTCCTTGAGGTCAGGTGTTCGAGACCAGCCTGGGCAACATAGTGAGATCTCATCATTACAAAAAATTAAAAATTAGCTCGGCATGGTGGCACATGCCTGTAGTCCCAGCTACTCAGGAGGCTGAGGTGGGAGGATCACTTGCCCAGGAGGGCAAGGATATAGCCTGGGCAACAGAGTGAGATCATGTCTCAAAAACAAAACACCAAAAATCTGTTCAGGCAGGTATCCTTTCTCCTCAGTGATTTTTCTTTTTTTTTTTTTTTTTGAGACGAAGTCTCGCTCTGTCGCCCAGGCTGGAGTGCAGCGGCCGGATCTCAGCTCACTGCAAGCTCCGCCTCCCGGGTTTACGCCATTCTCCTGCCTCAGCCTCCAGAGTAGCTGGGACTACAGGCACCTGCCACCTCACCCGGCTAGTTTTTTTTTATTTTTTAGTAGAGACTGGGTTTCACCATGTTAGCCAGGATGGTCTCGATCTCCTGACCTCGTGATCCGCCCGCCTCGGCCTCCCAAAGTGCTGGGATTACAGGCTTGAGCCACCGCGCCCGGCCTAGTGATTTTTCTTAATGGCATCTGGGAACTCATCTGCTATTTCTAGGTCAGGAAAAATAACTTCTCCTGTTACCTTGACATTTTTTTATGCCAAACCTCTTTCTAAAATTGTCAAACCATCTTTTGCTAGCATTAAAATCCTCCTGCACTAGATTCTTCACTTTCTTATTGCTTTGTCACATAACTTTGCCTTTTCTTGAATCAGAGTAGAGTCTATAGGTATGCCTTTCTTATAGTAATCCTGCACCCACACACAAGCTGCATTTTTAATGTGAGATTAAAAAGGTGTTTCACAGAAAGTGCAAGGTTTAGCACCTGCTGACATAGCTGCAGCAAGAGTTTCACGAATTTGCTTTTTCACAATGGTACTTACACTAGATTGATTTATCTCAAAATGGCAGGCAACCACAGTTACAGACCTCCATCTACAGTACATATCAAGGTATTCAGCCTTTTTAAAATTTTTTTAAATAAGGTATTTGCAGGCACAATCTGTACCTAGAACTCCTGGGCTCCTGCCTCAGCCTCTGCACCCAGCTGCATTCAACTTTTCCTTATAATATCATGACTTTTCCCTGTTCTTAGAAGTACTTCCAGGATCACAAGTGGCATTTTGTATGGGTCCCACAGTGTTATTCAAGGTTTGCAGTATTCCAGTAAACACAATTAACCTCACCACAATAGCAACAGGAGGTGGCTGCAAAATTATTACAGTAGTGTAGCATGTACTACAATTAATTTTATGCAGTTATGATTTAATACTGTATCTTTACATTTGTTTGTACTTCTTTCAACTGCAAATGGTACCATGTATGGTTGTCTAAATGTCTCTGTATGTAAGTTTTGAATTTTTAACTTTTTATAATAGATGTATGTGTATTTTATGGTACTAAATGATAAACTAGTATCTACATACATATGCATTTATTACATACTTAACTTTTTAATTTTTTCACTATTTCTAGGCTGCGATTCGTCTGCAAGTTTCTTCAAATTGTCACAAAACTCAAAAAAAGTTTCAATATATTTACTGAAAAATATCCACTTATAATTGGCCCTGCACAGTTCAAACCTATTGCTGAAGGATGGGCTGTACTTACTTTTTAGTCACTTCTGTCATTAAGACAATTATATATGACAACTTTTTCAAAAACTTATGATTATTCCAGTAAATAATTTTAGAAATCTAAAAGAATGAATTGGCATATGTAAATGTTTATGTGTGCATTAATTTTTACCTATC